ACGATTGGCGCTTGGTCTACGGCACACAGCCTTAAGAAAAGATAACACGGACTGGTGCAAATCATTCGCTCCACTAGCACTGAACGGTACAGTAACGTCACCCCGAGAACGCCCGGGCTGCACCGCGATTAGAGTGGGCGGGGTGACCTAGTTTCGACGGACGCGCGCAAAGGACGTTCCCCATCTCTGCACTCGAGGCGGCACTATGCTGACTAATGTCAGAGACACTCCCCAACTACATTTTCACCGTTGTTGCTCGTTCGATTTTTCATGTATATTGCTCAAGGAATGTCAGCAAACGAAGCAAGCATAAAAATTATCAACACCGCTCCGTTTTGGACGTAAGAGGGGAATAATTAAGGGAAGGCGTTCCTACATACATCAGAGGATAATCGGAACATACCACAAAGCTCCCAAGGTTAAGGCGACAGCGCGAAATTTTATTTGGTACTTAGAAAAGAATGAGAAAGGTGTGCGTATGTGAACGGTTACTCAAAGGCACCGTTTACGATAAATTTAGGGTACCCTTTTTTGACGGGAATTGATAGAACTACTCTAGAATAAAGCGATAACAACGGAAAAAGCGCAAAAAACGATGAAAAAGAAATAGAAAGGGTCAAAAGAGTTGGAAAGTGGGTTGGACGAGTTTCACATTGGAAGAACGGCGTTAAGGGAGTGTTCGGGCGAGTGCACGAAGGCAACGCAATGTCTGCAATAGCAGACAACACACCCAATTTGCCTGACAATCTGACTGGCAGACTCTGGTGCCAATTATCGATTTTTCACCAACTTCGCCAATGCGGCAAGTAGATTTCGTAGTCGGCCTAGCGAGGGGCGGAGGGCGACTGTTGCTCACTCTCCGGCCCCTTATTGTGCCCTATCAAACCGTTTTCCGACCGCATTCCTGCACAAATGGTATCAGAGGGGACGTCGAATTCAAACCATGTGCAAATCTCCGAAACCATTTTTTCGTGAACAGTGCCTTTAAGAAAAAGATTACGAGCGTTCAAGTAGCGGCGACATACTCCAGGGCTCGGCGAGGTCGTTCCGGTTAAGGTATACCGTAGAGGATTTGGACCACACCGATGAAACTTGCTTTTATAAAAAGTACCACACTTAGTCCAACTGAAAATACGGTTCCCCTTGAAAAGCAGACAAAATTAATTTCCTGACCGAAAAAATCAAGACGGCCCTGAGAGAAAAAGCAACACATTGTCTAGGAAAACACATACGAAATCGCAGTAGAGAATTTCCATATCCATCGAACTGACCGTTTCACTGCTCGCGCAAACTAACCTCAAATTCGCTTCCTTAAGAGTGGCTAAAATAGACAGCAGCGTATCGACGTTTGAGGGAACCTCACAGACCATACGCAGGATCTGGAAAATGACATTATTGAAAGTTATTAAAGGCTTCGCAACAGCACATAGTGCTGGTTAATGAAGAAGATTATGAACTAATGCCCGACACTTTCGTAAAGCAGACATTAACAGTAGGAATCACGGGTTACGACGAGAGGACTTTGGCTACACGAGGACTGTCACTGGGTTTCAGAGACCTATAAAACTACTATAAACCATAAAAATTAAGGTCTTTAGCGTTAGTTAATCCGGATTGAAGAATGCGTCCCGCATCCCCTTATACAAATCTTAGAGGCGTTTCGAATGATTCTGTTGCCAATAAAATGACGTGTGGTGGCCATCCGCTGTAAAAATTCAGTGCTTCTGTCACAGACGATCCCGATGATTATTAACCGAGCGCACTGAAGGTGTAGTTGACTTGAGATGGTAGTTGCACTAGACGTGCCTTGTGGATGGTTATTTTCGGTATTTTGGGTTGCCTCGACGTGAATGAGATCCTGCTCTTGATCAATTTGGTGATCTGGATCTTCGCGTGAGGTCTCTTGCAGTATTAGGGATCTTTGAGAAACGTAGCCGAGTTTTACACTCATCCGATCCCTTACGCACTTACACTCAACATAGCGTGCGCTTAAAACAAAGATGAGTTCATCTGCAGCAGCCAGTTCTTTATGTAGCTGCGAGTCACTCTCGATTTGTTCGATTTCCAACATTATTTCCTTTTTGTCGGACTTGCTTTTGCAGTTGCTATATTCTTCTCTTATCTCTTTGTATAATTTTGTGAGATTTTCTTTCCCTTCTTTGATTTGATTTATACCGCTTTGTAGCAGCGAGGTTGTTTCTTTACACATCTCGTAGCTATCCTCATCTGTTGTGGGATAATCTACCTTTTTTGTGTACTCCGTGTATGCGGAGACCAAACCTCTCAGCGTTTTTGCGCTGTTGATTATTGGAGTTTTGTGGAAGTGCAACGCCATTTTTTGCGCGATTTCCGAAGTGAGAATTGAGTTTCTGAGTTGGAATAACTATAGAAAGTGTCTCCAGGTACGTAGTACGGGAGTTCCCTTTATGAAGGGCGAATCAATTAAGATTCTGGGTCTTAGGAAAGACCGTAAAAGTTTGCACGTGAGAGAGCTGTCTTCGTTCCAGGCCCCAAAGATGTTACACTTTGACGCGGGAAATTTGGCTGTTAGGCCGATGCACCAGATAACCAGGATGGGTGCGTGAAGACTGGGTGATTTACCCTTTTGAAACAATTAAGGCAAAGGTGGTTCAGAATCTTTATTAATAGCGAGATAAGTGCGAGAAGAGAGCGTGGGCGGGCTGACCGATCCCAACGCCTGACAAAGCAAGTAATGTGACAATTAACGGAGCCAGTACGAGCTTGACCCCCACCGCGCCCCGCCCCACTTGATAGCGGGAGGCAAGGCGCTTACGTAATGGAAGGGGGTCGTCAACGACGACAGTATCCACCCGCGGTTCCGCCCTGAACCATGGGGCGATAGCGTACCATTGCGACTACATCATCTCCGCTCTAAGAAAACATCGGAAATACTTGATAAGTTGTCTCTTGTGATTGTAGCCAATACTTACTCACCTTCCTAAACGTGAATTCCCATCACCAGGGATCGGTTTCAAATTCCTAGGGAACTTTGAATGGAGACGTAAGTACATCGATAGAGTTTGAAAAGTTGTTCAAATACAGAAACACAAACTGCTGAATGATTCAATCAGGTAGTATGAGCGCGCAAAGTCTGCCTGCTCAAAGCTTGGAAAGATAGGTCCAATTGAAACACGCTGTTGACCCATCGGCAACAAGTGTCACGCAGCGTAGCGAAGTGCTCCCCCTCTTCACGCGAACAATGCGGTGCCAGTTCATACAAAGCTAGCTTTCTTTCCAATTATAGCATTGACTACACTTTCAGATATATACGAAAGATATTTATAAAATTTCTCGTTCTTGTCTCTGCTCTGTAAATTCTGTGAATCATTCAATACGTTTAATTTTTCATCAATATAGCCTGCCTTGAACGAGAGTATTTCGAAAAGTTTGAGAAAGGAGCAGCACAAATTATTCGGTATACTTGTAATAAGACCTTAAGTATATTGCCTCGCTGTGACAAATCGAAGTTCACATTGTTTGTCATTGCGCGAGTCTTGGCCCGTTTATGAAGGGTCAAAAAAGGAGATGTTCAGGGGCTGGGAAGAAGCATCCCTGCTCTTGAAAAGGCAAGTCTTTATCGAGTCGACACGAGCTCCTGGATCTGTGGTTTCTTTTGGTTGTTTTATCGATTTGAGTTTTTCTCCTTCTCTTCCTCTTTTTCTTTTTCCTTTTTTNTTTTTTATCTATGACTCAAGACGATTTTCCTTGGCTGTGTGTATTTCAATGTTAAAAATAAAAAGGCGTCATGAAAATTACGTGGAGAACATTTCGCTTTAAGTAAGTGCGATGATCGTAAATGATAGCCGGAACGAGAGCAGCCGCTACGTCAGAGCAGCCCTTGTTGCCACTGCGGGGCAACTGCGCATTCCAATTGTCACTATCTCTCTAAGCTCTGAGCAAGCGAACTTGAGAGCTCATAATTTTCGGAAGACTCGTTCAGCAGTTATCCATTTCTATATTTGTGAATAGCATTGCAAACCTTATAAACCTCATCGACATACGTGGGTCTCTTTACAAAGTACAAGTTGAAACCCTCTTCTGGTCTACAAAGCCTAAATAAAAAGAACCATTTAGAGGAGCTGTTTCGACCAACCTCTCTAGACTGCGTCCATGATCGACTGAGCTCATTTAAATGTTTCGGTTTCTTCATATAAACACCAACGACATGAAGGACGAACTGAGAAAGTAGTGTAGGGACCTCCTGACATAAAAGCAACAGTAATTGTTGCGCAGCAAAAAAAAAAGAAAAGAAAAGATAATGAAATAATGGCGAAACGTCGAACCTTGTAGCCACGAACAGTGAGGAAATCCGACAACATGATGGCATTGCTCACAAATAGTTTCAAAGACTCGTGCATTTCAGAGGAACGCCCCTGAAACCATAGTAATCTTAATGCTCAGCCTTCAATTCTGAGCAAATTTCCATATTCGGCCTTAAAAGAAAAGATGGTAGTTCTGTGGGAAACGAGAAGGGGTCTTGCAGCGTTTCTTCTTCAGTCTAGTGATAGTGCAGGTTATAGAATTTGCTAACAGATGACCTAACCCTCTCTGATGTGATATATTTCAACGAAAACGACGTCAAATAAAGGAATACTAGTGATTTGAATATTTTCCAAAAAGAGGTGAAGCAATATAAATTTCGAATGACTGAAGTCCTTGTAGCATTGAACACTAATTGGGTTTGGGAAAGGAGGAAAAGTATACCCTAAAATTCCATAGATAAGAGCGGGTGAGCCTACCGGTGAAAAAT